GCTGGCCTTTAGAAACCACAATTTAAGGCAGATATGGTAGGGGACACCTGTTATCCTAGACTCGGGAGGCTAAGACAGGACGATCATGAGTTTGAGGCCAGCTGAAACTTTATAGCATGTTCAAGGCCAACCTAGATTGAATGACAAGACTGTCTTCAAACAGATCTTGTTTCAGTGCTCAGGTAGCTGATGCTACTCGTACAAGACTTGTGGAGATGTTTTGAGTCGGGTGTGAAGGAAGGACTTGGCTTTAGGAAATGGGCACTTTCCCTCTTTACTGTCCATGCATTTCTGTGATGGCAGCACTCGTCTTTCCATCCTTTGCTCCCTAAAACTCTTGTTGAAACCTCTCTGCCAAGACTGCAGATGCTGTTATCGGACAGTCACTTCTCTTCGCTCCCTTCTGATGTTCACTCCCTCTCAGCAGTGTCCCTGGCCAGCTGTTGACTTGCTTCAGTGGCTGCCTCAGGCACCAGGACCTCAGACGCTCCCTGGATGACCCAGTCCATTTTCGTGGATTCAGACCTTTTCTATCAGTGAACTGAAACATGAATTTTGCCTTACAAGGCTAATTCTCATTAACAGCATAGCTTTCTAGCCTGAATGGTTCCTGCCCACTCAGCTTCTCCAGGCAGTTGAGTGCACTCATCCACTTCCAATGTTATTGTTTCTCTTCCCATCACCATCTTCAGAACAATCTCACTGGAACTTTCAAAATCTTTCTTGCGAAAGATTTTTCATGGCTGACTTTTCCTGCAGTGTATCAGCTGCTATTCCTGTGCTCGTGTCACCCTCAGTGCCTCGGCTTTCCCTTGAAAACATGGTACCGAGACCTTTTCCTGAGTCTCTGCTCTGTGAATGTAGTCTGCTTCAGAATCTCTTCAACTGAGGTGCCCAAACTTAAACCTGAATCTCCAGGTGTGTTTGGAACATTGCAAAGCTGCACTAAGCTGCATTCATTTAAATCAGGGCCACATATGCTAATCCCCATTCCTAGCACCCCTGTACTCCTCAAGTCCTGCCTACGGGGCTCACACTCAACCCAACAAGGCTCACAGCGTAGCTTTCCCAGATCCCTTCTTCCCAGTGAGAAATGTGAACTCACATGAACCTCGCTGTGGGTGTTTCCATTCTCCTCAGCGTCACAATATTTATTCTCCTTTTCCAGTGTGAAAATGGTGCCTGGTAAAGAAGAGAAAGAAAAACTAGAGACGTGGGTCTTATCCCTCTTTTCAGTTTCTGTCACACCATCTGTCCCACAGGCTGCAAGCCTAGAATCTACTCCTGCGCCTTGCTTCAGGCATTATTTAAAACCTGAGAGTCCTCTACAATCCAGACCTGTCACCACATAGAAGACTATTTCCAACTGTAGAGGGAAGTGCCTGCAGTTAAGTTCCTCTTTAAGTTCAAGTCTACTCTTTAAGCTCCACAGGCTGTGACATTGCAGCACTCAACACATTGCAATGCGCCAACAATGTTCAACTGAGTGAGTGAATAAGTGCCTTAAATCCCAACTCCTTATCCTGATGTCCCATCCTAAGTCCACTATCTCTGTAAATGGCATTCCATCTCCATACTCAGATTGGGAACCTACATCCACATAGTAAAGAAGCCTACTGTTTCACATTAGACTTGAAAATCCTGAAATCATCTTTAAACTTGCCATATTTTTTCCTGTTAAACACAAATATTCCCCTCACTTTTACCCACAGTCAGCCTACCTTATCCCATGAAATGCCTTTCTAGTCAGGCTTTTTGTCTTCTGCCCTCTCTTATCCCTTCCCAACAGCCCCCTTACACTAACTGCTTTGTGATTCCAATACTTAGACCTCACCATCATTATGACTCTTGTGTAGAGTTACCTTACATCCTTCTGCCTAAGAAACAAGAGCTCCTCTTACAAGAACTCCTCTTCCTGACTTCACCAGAAGTGCTTAACGTCATCAGCTTCCCTAAGATTCCTACTTATACTTGCTGATGTTGCCTACTTCGTTCTAATTAATTTGCAGTCAGTAGTACCTTCACATGCCTTCCTTATTCCTGAATGTGTCTCTGTTTTGGTCCATGGGTACCTGAGCCTGTGTGTATGTGCTTTGTAGAACATACTGTCCTTGGCCCCTTTGCTCCTAAATCCTGCTGCAATGGTCTGCTGTTCCCCAGGAAGCATTCTGTGATTACATTCAAAGAATTTTTCTTCTAAAATAATGTAATTGTCGCAAATGAATATAGCTTTGTGTCTCCAAGTTTATTATAAAATGGTTATATTTATTTCTCTTTTTGTTTCCATCCAAATAGTTTATGGTACAGAGATAGGCACACAGGAAGAACTAAGTAAATTAAGACTAGCTCCCCCCCCCCAAAAAAAAACTTATGTTCTACCTATCTGAGGAGTAAATTAAAAAATATACGTATATTTAGTGTTATTCTTTAAGAAGTTCTATCACCCTGGCTTCAACACCTTTTAAGTTTAAAATAATTATATATATAATCTGTATATAAGCTAAGTTTAAAACATATATATATATATATATATATATACACACACACACACACACACACACACATGGCAGAGGCACTTGGAAACAATGTTCAGAAACTAGCTTTATAGAACCTGTGCAGATAAACAGCATGGATGCTTTGAAATAAGAGCCCTTACTGAAAGAAAGATTTCCAAGCGCAGCCTCTATGCAATCCTGACTCTACTTTGGGAAAGTAGTCTAAAATTTCCCTTTGGCCAAAACCACTTATTTGGAAGTTGGATCTTTTGCTGGGGTGAAATTTATCAAATCCTGCCTCAGGATTATGTAAAGGAATCCTATAGGGGCAGTAGGAGAAGGAAGAAAAGGAACCTGAAAATCAGAGGAGGAGACTTAGTTCTGTCACTGCAAGTGAGGTGCCAGGTAACTCTTGCATTTAAGTTACTGTGGGGTTCCTGGTAGCAGCCCTATTTGGCTGCTTTCCTGGAGCTGTAAAGCCTGACTTGATGTTGCTGATAATTGAGTGGGTGCATTCCAGGCTTTAGGCTCTAAGTCTTACTTTGCCATGTGAACCCTGACAAGGTAAAACTGTAGAGGTTAAAATCTTCACTCCAGAAGGACAAGGCAAGGGCAGGTCCTTAAGAACCCCACAAGCAAGTTCTTCCTGAGTCCCTACAACTCTCCCCTATGGCTGTCAGGGTCTGCTGTATGCCAGGTCCAGTGTTGGACATTAGGATTATCATAGCAAGATGGAAACTGAAAATTAGATTTTTCCACCCTACATTTATACTCCTGGCCACATCATTTAGGCAAGTAACTGACCACCTTTTTCTTAGCATCCTACAGAAAAAGCTTTGGCACATTTAGGTGCTTGTTTATAGGCTCATTTAAAAAATAGTAACCATTATGTCCCTCTGACCAAATTATTATAGGCCTCAAAGTATGTCTGTTAAATACCCAAGAAGGTTAGTTCCACCAGTCTGGTATTTTTAATTACTGTGTGTCATGTAGATAAATCTTGGGCAAAGACCAGTTGTTTTCAGATAAACCTTACCTAGACATATATTTCTTGATCTGCTATGTATAATCTGTCAGTAGGTTGTAGGAGTAATATGGTTCCCTCTGGTTTTCAAAGCTAGCTAGGCATTGTTTATCTCTCACATTGTCTCACCCCTCCATCATGATTTTCCCACTTAAGGTGCCCCAGTTCCCCCCTTTCTCCCTTACTAATACCCTTCTCCTATGGTCCTACCTCTCTTGAGCTCCTTCTTTCCCTTTATCCCCTAGGTTCCTTGTATACCGTTCCCTCCCCCCTCCCTTAAACTAATTATAATTAGTTTCTTCTAATTATATGGTTATTAGATAAATAATTTTTTAAAAAAAATAGTAACCATAATTATAAAAAGAAGTAGAAATCAGTAGATTGGTTTAGAAAACCTAAAAGGAACTTACTTGAAAAGACAGCAGTAGAAATTGGGATAGAAGGCAGCCACCGAAGCTGAGGGAGACACCACTGACCTCTGCAGAGTTGTCAGCTGTGGTTGTCAGTCATGTTTCTCACTCAGGGCTGCCTCAGAGACTAATTCTGTGCATTTCTATGGTAATGGATGTAGCCATATATATATATATGAGAGTCCTGACACTGGCCTTAACACTAGTGGGTACATGTATAAAAGGAAACATTTTGTTATTTGTTCTATGCCCTATCTCCTTCTAAAAGGGATCAGAGATGATGTTTATGGAGCACATAAGGTGCAGCTATTAATTCAAAATAATAGAAAAAATTAAGTGGTAAACAATTTAGCAAAGGAAAACATATTAAGAAACTCAGGATAATCTCGGAACCTCCTTGTGATCTAAGCATGGGGTGGAACTTGACAATTGTATAAGCCTCATGGGGAAATAAGCATTGAATTATCAAGAGGGAATTTTTACTAGGTCATTGCACTAAGAAACATCCATGGGATAGTTAAGCAATATAAATATTATCTTAGTAACCATTTTAAAAGGAATTAGACCAGCATATGGTTCTTTTTTTAATAGCCGTTAGTGAAAGTGGAAGACGATGTGGAGTCAGAATAGTTCTCTATATGGGCTGTCCCTGCTATATGGGCTGGACACAACTATATTTCATGATAACAGAATAAAGTTTAAACATTTTCACTTATTAAATCAGTAAATAGCACAATAAACATCACCTTTGCCATCTGTGTCTTGTATGTAGAGCAAGTGGCTCTTTCAAAAAATAACCTGTATCAGAGCTGTCCTCACACTCAGGGACATGCTCTGTGACTGCCATCTGGCTGCTGCCATTGCTCCCTGCCAGGCTTCTGGCAAAAGCTAGAAGACAGAGATGATGCTCTATTATGAATTCTGAAGACACTAAATGTTATTTTTATGAAAGGGGCTTTTGATGTGCCTCTAAGCAAAGCCAGAATTTCCCTGAAAGCAATGTTCTAGTCACTCGAGTGCTTGGATAAATGCTATGTAACTGTTAATAACATGCAGGCCCTTGAATTTCAGGTACAGTAGTTGAGGAAAGCAATGGTTCTGACGAGATGGAGAATTCAGATGAAACAAAGATGTCAGAAGAGATACTGGCTTTGGTGGATGAATTTCAGCAGGCGTGGCCTCTGGAAGCCTTTGAGGGAGCGCTAGAAATGAAGGGGCGGCGTCTAGACTTGCAGGGGATACGGGTACTGAAGAAAGGTCCCCAAGATGGAGTCGCCAAAAGCTCTTGCTATGGAGACTGCAGAAGTGAAGATGATGAAGCAGCAGAATGGGTAAGAGTTTGCCAGTACAGGGCGACAGAGATGGCCCAGTCAGACAAGCACAAGAACCTAAGTCCAATTCCCAGTAACCCCCATAAAAAGCCAGGTGTGTGACATATGCTTGTCATCCTAGCACCGGAAAGGTGGAGACAGGAGGATCACCAGGGCTCACTGGTAAGCCAACCTAACCTATTTGGGAGTCCCAAGCCAAGAAGAGACATGAAAAAACAAGATGGATGCCTCTTGAGGAGTAACATTCAAGGGTGTCCACTACCCTCACACTCACACGTATACATAAACATGTATATACTACACACACACACACACAGAGGCACCCACACATACACATATGTATACTACATACACAGGTATCCACACATTCACAAACATGTACCCCACACACACACACAAGAGACATCCATATCTACACAAACACGTGTACGCCCCCCACATACAAATGCATATCTACACAAACATATGTACGTCCCCACATATAAATGCATAACTCACAAATGTTCATTAACTCATCCCTCATGAAGTTGTAGCTCAGGTCTTCCAAGTGAAGCCAGCCACAGTCGAGCAGGACCTTTGACTTATCTTCACATAGATGGAACTGGTAAAAGAAAGGAACCAGGGGCTTCTCCCAAACCCATGTGACCCCTGAGGAACAGATCCTCAAACGACCTTAAGAATAAAAATAAATTGGTTTATTTGGGCCAACTGTATGGTCTTAAACACCTAAAAGGAAAGTATAACCAAAGATTAAATTGATAAGTATAATTCTTTAAATGTCAATGTGTACATTTGTTTCTATATAACAAGCAACAATGCCAGACAGGCGATACCTTCCTTTGAGTTGTTGGCTAGGGTGGCTCAAGAGACTCCCAGACAGTAGTAACCCAGCATAGAACTGGGAAAATGAACAGCAGACCCTAATCTTATCTAAAGGAATATTGGCAACTGATTGCTGCTAGATGAGGAAGATGAGGAAGAGCTGATCTTCCTAAAACAAGGATCTCTAGATAGACTGACTAAGACTCAGCAGATGGACTTGCACTGGGAACAGCTGGGGGCACTGAAAACACAGTGGACAGTAACAGGGATGACAGAATATATGGGCTCCAGTCGGGGGCGGGGGAGGCTATGGGAGGGTGCCATCTGGGTTGCGGGTATAAAGATGAATAAGATTGTTTGGGATGTTCCATTTGAAATATGCACAAAAAATCAATAAATTTTAAAAATGAGTTATAGTTGAGGAAGAAGCATAAAAATTTGCTTCATGTATTAGTAGATAAGAAAAACATTACCATTGGAATCTACCTGATGAATTTATATCCATGCTCAGGTGCCAAGGATCTCAGATAGTAACCAACTGTGACTAATAATAATCAGATATATAGAAATTAGAGATGCATGTGCAAACATCCAAGTGTTAGTTGCATTAAAAATGAGTTTTTCTGTATGAAACAGTATATTTTAAAATGAAAGAGTTCTTTTTTAAAGGTTAAAACCTCATTTGATTTTATGTCTTATAGGGTTTATACTGAGTACAATAAGGTATTACTGTATTAATTCAATACTGAACCTAAAAATTACAGACAATTTTGAAAGAGATGCATCTTTGCTCTGGAAACTCTTATTGACTATGTGAATGCTGTTGTAATGAAATGTTTCTATTAATTATGTGGTTATTAAATAAATTTAACCCCCCTCAAAAAAATATTTACTCCTAGGAAATAACTGAAGAGGCCTGGATTTTGGAAGATTTTTTCCCCTATTCAAACTATATATTTTAAATTGTTTTTAAATTGAAGACAGGGAAAATGTCTCAGTGGATGAAAGCACTTGCTGAGAACCTGAGGTCAGACCCGTAGAATCCATGTACTAGCCAGCCAGAGTAGCACAAATGTCTGTGGTCCCAGCATGCACCTACAGGAGAGGGGAGACCAAGACATGAGAATCTCCAGGATCTCTTGGACTAACTGGCTTGGCTCACACACCCATGAAGAGACTATCTCAAATAAGGTGGAAAGGCAAGGACCAAAACCCAGAGGTTGTCTCCACATGGGTGTGCCCATACTTACACCCACAAATGAGAACAAGCACACACACTCACATCTGTCACACACACACACACACAATTTTTAAAAATTGGTCCACCATATTTATATATATATACATGGGGTAAATATATATAGCAATGGATATTTCAACACATGCAAAATGTAGATGTGCAGTGATCAAAGCAGAGTAATTAGCATATCTATCTGGGTTATTCTTTAGTGTTTTATTATTTCTTTGAGAACTTCATACATGCATGTAATGAATCTTTATCATTTTTACCCCTGACTCTTCTCCCTAACTCCTCCAGATCTACCCCCATATAACTTCTTACCCTCTTTCTTTTCCAAATAACCTACCAGGTCCAATTTCTGTCATCCATATACATGTGGGTGTGAGTCCATCCAGTGGACTGTTGTTGTCAACCCACCAGGGACCACACCCTTAAAGAAAACTGATCCTCCTTGCCCCAGAAGCCACCAGCTGTCAGTAGCTCCTCAGCTAGGGGTGAGGACTCATGAGTCCTCTCCTACTTCATGCTGGAATATTGACTGGGTTGATGTGCAGACAGCCACAGCTACTGTGAGTTCATGAGTGCGGTGGTCCTGTCGTATTCAAAAGACACCATTTCATTCCAGTCCTCCCCAGCCTACCTCTCGCCCTTACAATCTTTCCACCTCTTCCCTAATAGTTCCTGTGTCTTGGGACAGGCACTTTATACTTTGACCACTTGTGAGTTTCTGCATTAACTTTCATCCACTGCACAAAGAAATTTCTCCGATGAAATCTGAGATCTGCATTCGTCTATGGCTATAGAGCTACAAATTTAGAAAGCAGTTTCATACTATGTTCATTTAGCAAAATAATAGTCATAGGTTCTCCACTGAAGCCTGTGAGCTCCCCCATAATGTATTCTTGGCCAGATTTACAGTGCCAAGCATGCATTTCCTCTTGTTGAGTGGTCCTTAAATCCAATTAGAAAGTGGTTGGTTCCCCCCATAACGCACATGCGACTGTTGCATCCATGGGCTTATCTTGCCAGGCCAGTCATTATTGTAGGTCACAGGGTTCACAGCTGGGTAAGACTGGATGACTTTTTCCCCCAGTAGCCTGCTCCAATACTTTGAAACCTAGCAAGCAGGGAGGAAGCTTTCTGATCAAAACCAACATGATTTCTCCATGTCCGATGATCAAAATGTGTGGCATCTTCAGCAATAGGGACTTACCATCAAGTTCTGGTGGGCTGGGTTATTCTGAAGACCACTGAAAACTGTAGTGAGTGACAGATTTGCTCATTGATCTCATTTGTTTCTAACATGTTTTTGATTCCCAGATCACATTCCAGGTCAAACGTGTAAAGAAACCCAAAGGAGACCAGAAAAAGCCTGGGAAAAAGGCAGAATCAAATCAAGCAGAAAATGGACAGCATTACCAAGCAAACCTGGAGATCACTGGTCCCAAGGTGGCATCTCCCGGGCCTCAAGGTGAGCGTGTTTATTGAAGGTGCTTGCTTCTTCCTTCAGACTTCACTGTCATTTCTCACAAGTGACGTGTTTTGTGACTTAGAGCAATTCAGATGAAAAGATGAAAGAAAAGCATCAATCATTAGTGTGAAAAGGCTTTTTTCTAATTTTCTTTGATTTTTACCACTGAGTATTTGGGTTAAAGGCCATTGGCATGCGCCCAGTTGACTTTTTGTTTCCCAGCAGTGAAGTTGTGGTGATAGGATTTCTTTAATTTAAAAAGGGATATTTTTATTATCCTTACACTAAAAATTCAATTCATTAAAATCTGTCATATCTAATTGGGTACAAGTATCAACCAAAACCGAAAGCCAGGGGCAATAATAAAATATGGAGAGTAGGGTCAGCTTAGCCAAATCCAAGGTGAAGTTGTAAAAATTCTTAAGGGCCCCAAGAAGCATATTTTGTTACCCCTGGAGTTGAAAGCTTATGTTAGTTTTACTGTTAAAGGAAGCTAGCATTTATTAAGTGAAAAAAGGAAACATTTTTCTGCTAAATCTGTCTCTGTATCAATGAAGAAGATGTCCGGACAGAAATGAAAACTCTCATGGGTTAAATATGAAATATAATAAATTGCCAAGGAACAGAGTAGATGGGTATCATATGATCTTACAGTGAAGGACACCAAGGTATAAAAGAATTCTACAGTAGAAAGGCAAAGGCCTAAGCAAAGTGATTTTGCAGAATATTTGTATACATTTGAAGCATGTATGATCAACAGGATATCAATGTCATTTAAAGAACATAAAAAATACAGTACAAAAAAAATACAGTACACTATTAAAATAAAATGTGTGCAGGTATTTCACCCAGTACATTCACACAGCATTACCAGTATGACAGAAGGTTTGCTCAGTAGCAGCCAAATGCAGATATAAACATTTAACGGTTTGGCTTACCAAATTGTCTTTAAATGTACAATACACAAAGTTAATAGAATGACTTTTGAGTTCATTTGACAACATGAATCAGAAAATTAAAAATAGATCAGTAATTCTATTAATTTACTCTAGATAAGTCATCTTGTAGATACCACAGGTTATACGTAAAGCTGCTAATTATATGGGTTTGCTTATCATAAAAATTTACAAGCAACCTAAATATTGCAGTTTCCTGAATACATGGCATCATGTCTGTGTCATATACTGTGCACAAGTTGTGGTACACTGAGTGAGCAAAAGCAGTTTGTAATGGCACAGAGAGCATTTCCATTCTGGTAAAATAATAAATATGCTTTGTTTTATCCACTATTTTTTATATTTCAATATCTCGGAAATTGAGATACATGTTGCAGTTGGTGGTATCTTATATAACAGTAGGCAAGCTTTTTCCTTTCTTAAATTGTGTGAGGTAAAGTGCACCATCAAGTTGATGGCCTCTTAGGTTTGATGGAAAGGGCATAGTACACAAGCACATGGAAACAAGTCTAGAAGGAAATCACAAATGTCATAGATGGTCCTCTCTGGGTGCTGAGAGGACTGTAAGCTGTCGCTGTTTTCTTCTTTGTGGCCTTTCCATTTCATAAATGTTTTATAATTCTGCATTGCTTTCATTTTTAAAAAAGCCAAAGCTCCTTATGAAAGTAAAAGTTAAGCCTACCATGGTTGAGATGAGGGCATCTAAGCCGTGGCTTGCCTTGCCTGTTCTGTGGTGCTGGAGACTGAAGGCAGGGCCTTGCTCATGATTGGCAAACCCTCTACCAGTAAGCTATGTCTTAGCCCCAGTTAAGCAGCTTTAAATGGAACTCAAGTTGGTTGGCCCAAATGGGGCATTGAGTATACTTGCAAGTGAGATCACAAAATGACTTACTTTCCTTAAAGTAGTGTGTTCTCAGTGTGGAGGAGATACAAAAATACTACAGAAGTTTAGTAGCCCAATTTTGAAATTTTACGGATTCTACCCACTGCCAGCTAGTAAACTTTCTGGTAAATCAGGTCAAGATTCTAAAGCAGATCATGAAGCAGATTGTTTGTGAACCTGTGGCAGAGAAATAGATCACTGAGAACCATAACAGATGTACTAGTAATAACATTTAACTAATTTCATTTCCTTTTTTGGCTAGGGCTTCTAGACTGGAAGACTAGGGAAGTGCCATAGACATAATGTACCTGGATTTCAGCAAGGCAGTTAACAGAGCTTATGATACCTTGTGAACAGATGGAAAGCTCAAGGTTCTCACTGCCTACAGGATAAAATGCAGACTTCCTAGTGTGGCATTCAAGACCCTTTACAAACTAGCCTCTCTCTTCCCTCAGCACCACTTTTGAATCAGCTACACCCTTATTTTACATCTGTGCCTTTTTACATGCTATTCCCTCTATCTAAAATGCCCTCATGCCATCTCTATGGTGCTAAGATATCTTTCACCCTTAAACTTGAAACTCAAGTGCCATTTCTTCCTTCATATCTTCAGAGTTAGGTACTGTTCAGTTCCTTCGCTCTAGCACTAACCCTGACACATTACAACAGCTTGTGTTTCCCTTCCTCACTAGACCGTGAGCTCAAGAGCAGGCTGCCTCTTATTCCTGTCTGTATTCACACAGTCTGAGACCCTTATGGGTGCTCAATAAATATTTTTAAATGAATTTCTTAAATATACAAAGAAAGTGAGAGTTATTGTGAAATGTATGATTTATTTAAAGTAACTGATTTAAACAGCTAATTTGAAAATCTTCCAAATCGTTCTTTTTTGCCTTATTAAAAATCTAAATCTAAACCCCTGCCTGTACATCAGATGTTTTCCATTGCTGGTAAATTCTTACACTATAACAAGTGCCATACAGAACTAAGGTTCTCCTTCCTGTCCATCTCTTATCCTTTCCCAGATAAGACTTGGTTTTGCCCTTTTGGGGAGACTTGATCTAAAGTAAAGGGCCCAGACCCTAAAGTACCTTTAATAGCAGTGATTGGGAGCACGTATATTACAGTCAAAATGCCTATGTCTGGGTCCCAGCTCTGCCATCTGCTAGTCAGAGTACTTTGGGCTAGCTTCTGTTTCCTCCTCTGAGTTGTGAGGATTAAAGCCATCCTCATGATGTTGTTAATTTAAACACTGAGCACAGCATCTGAACATGCAGAAAACGCTCTTGAAATAAATAGTCACCTTACATTGTCACCACTTATCCTGATGCTTTTCCTTTTTTGTTTTTAATTGTGTTTATTTGTTTGTTTATTTGCATCTGTTCTAGTGTTGTGCCTGCATGTGTGTAAGTGCACTGGTGTCATGCAATGCCTGCAGAAGTCAGAAAAAGGCATCAGATCCCCTGGAACTGGAGTTATAGGTGGTTGTTAGCCGCCATGTGGGTGCTGGGAACTGAACCTGGGTTCTGTGCAAGAGCAGCAGTGCTCTTAATCACTGAGCATCTCTCCAGCCCAGTGATGCTTTTTTTAAAGCAGTGATTGTGCCAGAGATGATTTTGCCTCCACAGGACATTTGGCACTGTGGGGAGGCATTTTTGGGTGGCATTTCTGGGCAAGTCTCTGCTACTAAAATTAGTGAGTAAAGCCCAGGAGTGCTGCTAAATATCCTTGAGTGCACAGGACAGGTCCTTACAATAAAGCATTACGTAACCCAGAATGTCACAGTACCAGGTTGAGAAACCTGCTTTACAGATACATGTTTCTATTAAGTTGGAGTTATACTTACAAAATCTAGAAGGATAAAAATTAAATGTGGTATGATTGTTAGCCTCTAAGAATGTCTAATACCTTCTTTCATGTTGATCAACTTAAATACAGCAAAGGATTCTATTTTTCACTTCATTATCTTTGAGAACAAGGCCTTATTCAAAGAGGATTTTTATTCCCATTGCCATGAATGATGAGATTTTTAATTGGATCCATTTGTTGATGATGTAAACTCTAAAAACAAGAAGACAGGCATGATGGTGCACATCTTTAATCCCACTACTCAGGAAGCAGAGGCAAGTGGATCTCTGTGAAATTGAGGCCAGCCTGGTCTCCATAGCGAGTCTGGGCCAGTTGGGACTACAGGAAGACCCTGTCTCAAAAAGACCAAAAATTAAAGTTAAAATAAAATAAAAAATAGAAACATCTTTCTAGATGGGCACCTCCAAGCACCAGCTCAGGTGATGTCATTGCCAAGGCAGACAGCACCTTGGCTTCCATTCATAGCATACTTTCCTTTCAGGAAAAAACCGTGACTATCAGAGTCTGGGGTGGCCCAGTCCAGATGAATGCCTCAAACTTCGCTGGGTAGAGCTAACTGCCATCGTCAGCACCTGGCTAGCAGTTTCTTCAAAAAACATTGAGTAAGTATCTTTGACCTGACCTTCCCTCCTGACATTTCCATACCAGTGAACCCAGGAGCCTCATTGATGTCTTCTGTGTGATTAGTGTCAGAAGACTCATCTGTCCACAGCCCACAGATGAACTCAATCCATGTAGAGAAGCAGTGAAGGTACCCCTTTCTCTGTCCCTCACCTATACTTTGCAAGCCATCAGAAGTCATGTGTAGCTCAGTTTCTGTTGAAGACCAGGATCCTTTTTTTTTTTTTTTTTTGGTTTTTTGGAGACGGGTCCCCCGGGAACCCCCGTTTGTCCGGAACCTCCTTTTGTAGCCCGGGCTGCCTTTAACCACACAGAGCCCCCCCTGCCTCTGCCTCTGCCTCTGCCTCTGGAGTGCTGGGATTAAAGGCGTGCGCCACCATGCCCGGCTAAGGATCCTTTCTTTAGAAACCCAAAAGCCATCTCATGAATATTGTGTACTTGTAGGGAGCCAAGACAAAACTAGATTTCCTAACACTTACTAAGATACAAGCTGAGCAAGAGGCCTCTTGTAATTGCTTTCTCTTCATGAGATACACATTGGCTTTTGCTGATTCTTTTTCTGTCCTGCAGGTATTGGGGTTCCCCAAGATCTACTTCTGACCTGCAGTGTTTTCACGGCTCTTCTCACCTGGTCTATTCATACTTGTGCTTCTGAGCCTGACTGCTCTGTTTAATAAATCTTCCTTCCTTGGGGAAGCCTTTAATCACCCCCTCCTCATGGCACAGAGGAAATACATACCCTCCTTCAGCACATTTGCATTATTTCATGTTTTATAACTTGCTGTATCTGTAATCATAACCCTTCCAAGACATAAGTACCATAACAGTTAGGGCTGCATATGTCTGCTTTATTATTATAGCCCTAGTATCTAACATACAGTAGGTTCTGGATAAATAAATAATGAATGAATAAATAAATGTCTCCCTAATATAAGTTAAAATTTTTTATTAGATAGCCAGATGAGGTAGCACATGCCTTTAATCCCAACACTCAAGAAGCAGAGGCAGGTGAATCTCTTTGAGATCAAGGCCACCCTGTCTGCGTAGCAAGTTCCAGTCTAGCTGGAGCTTCAATGAAGACCCTATCAGAAAAAAAAAAAATAGATTTTTAAAATTTAAATTTCAAATTAAATTTGGTAGTGCCAAATTGTCATATTCAATATATATGATTGTCTGTACATTTCGCCTGTAAGAAGTGACCTCTTTTTCTTTTAATATTTTATTATTTTTATTTTATGTGTATGCATGTATTGCTTGCATATAGGTAAGTGCACCCATGTTGTGCAATGCCTGCAGAGGACAGAAGAGGCTGTCAGATCCCCTGGAACTGGAGTTACGGACAGTTGTTAGCTGCCATGAGGGTGCTGGGATTTGAACCTGGGTCTTCTGCAAGAACAGCCAGTGTTCTTAACCACTGAGCCACCTCTCCAGCCACAAGAAGTAACCTCTTAAGCTGGAGAGATGGCTTAAGAATTTAGAGAGTGCTGCTGCAAAGGACGAGAGTTCAGTTCCTAGTACCCATCCGGGCAGCTCACAACTGCCTGCAACTCCATCTCCAGGGGATATAACACCTCTGGCCTCCATGAGTACTTGCACTCATGTGCACATATTCACACAGACATACATACATAATACATACATAATTTTAAAAAATTTTAATCTTTAATCATAATCTTGTGGTCATGAAGGGAAGTACTTGCGTTTGATATGTTGTGCAATGAATGTGCAGCTGCACCTGCATACAATTGACTAACTCTTAAATGACTTCCATTGGGAATAGGTGTGCTTCTGTGTGTAAAGGAAGAGTAAAGGTAGGAACCAGTTGTAGCTATCACTGTCTGTTCCCTAAAAGAAGTCCCAGATGGAAACCCACTTATTTCAGAACCTCCCATATGAAAGTTATGATCTACTGATCATTAGTGCCATCCCTCTGCCATGGGTAATCTGGTAATCTCCATTTTCCAGCATCACAGAGCACATAGACTTTGCCACTCCCATACAGCAGCCAGCAATGGAACCACTGTGCAATGGCAATCTCCCCACAAGCATGCACACCCTGGACCACTTACACGGAGTGTCCAACCGAGCCAGCCTGCACTACACGGGTGAGAGCCAGTTAACAGAGGTGAGTGCTCAGGTTTGCTCAGCCCTTTGTGATTTCAGCTTCACAGTTATGATAGAACTGAAGGCACAAGTGAGTGGCTTTTTTTTTCCAGTTGACCTTTACCTAGGTGGCTTTAGGCCACAGTTTCAGGCACTGAGACATAGCTTATGCTTTTTATAATTATAAGTCATAAGTCTTCAAGACACACCACCAGAGAGACACTCTTGAGAGAAACATTTGGAGCAATTATTTTCCTTACAAAAGAAGAAAGGAGGGCAGACCCCACATATGCCTCAAAGAATGTGCCTCAAAAGTGGATTGGAAAACATCACAGATACACACCCTACAAGAGGAGTTAAATCGATTTTGGTAAAATACAAAATAGTGTACAAAGGCATAATTAGGAAAGATGCGGTTAGAAATACATTTATTGGCATGAAGAAAATTTTCAGAATATATTATGTGAAAACATAAGCTGCCATATACATTGTAATCCCATATTTTATGAGAACACTAATATCTGAATGTATGTATATGTGGGGGGATATGTGTCTATGTGTGTGTGTGAACGGTGACTGTGTCTGGGTGACAGAACTACAAATACTTTTGATTTCCTTTATTTTCTAGTGCTGCTATAATAATTCTTTTTACATGTCCATAATTTTTATCAAGCAAGGGAAGATTGTGGGCACGTCAGAATGGCATTAAAAGGCTCTTCCACAGACTAGCTCACCACAGAAACACAGCATGGGTCTCTGCAAAGCATTGTGCTATTGTGGTCCAGTGTCCGGCTCAGTGACGGCAGCAGCATCCTAATCATGTCTCATTTCCGGCCCTGTCAGCCACCATCTCCTTCTCTTCCAGGTATTACAGAATCTTGGCAAAGACCAGTATCCACAACAGTCACTTGAGCAGATTGGCACCCGAATTGCCAAAGTTTTGGAGAAGGTAAGTCACCCCCTGGAAAGCTGGTTACTGTTGCCCACCTCCTGACATCTTTTCTAGATTATTTGTCTCCAAATGGCTCTTACCTCTTCTACCCATTGCTAACACTTGATGGCCAAAGGCACAATGTGCAGTGATCCCACTGAGGGTATTTTAGTCACTTTTCATAGCTTTCCATCACTGGTTATTAATCTTTCCTATGTCTTTATTCTTGTGTGATGAGCCTTACCCAATCAGTCTCCTCTTCTTTACTGCAGTCCAAGTATTTAGAGGTGGTGGTGTGGGAACCATGAAATCTGGGTACATAAAATGAGGCAGGCATTCTTCTGGTGATGAATAGCTTTGGTATTGTGAATGGGAAATGGGAAATGCCCCTCAAAATATTTTTTCTCTTGAAATCATGAAACAAAATCTTTGCAAAACAGGGGCTGGAGAGATGGCTCAGTAGTTAAGAGCACTGACTGCTCATGTAGAGGACCTGGGTTTGGTTCCCAGCATCTACATGGTGGCTTACAACCATCCATAACCCCAGTTCCAGGGGATCTGGTGCCCTCTGTGGCATTCCAACCTCTGTGGGCATTGCACCACACACACACACACACACACTTACATCCATGCAGACAAAGCACTCATGCACATAAAATAAAATATTGCAAAACTGATTTTCATACAGCTTACAGAAAATGTAACAAACTCTCTAAGACTTCTTTTCTATCTCTGTGTGAAACTTGTGCAAAGAAGGGGAACTGAAAATTCTAATTTGATTACTTTGTGGCTGAGAGTCTCTATTACTATATAATATTGAAGAAGTTATTTATAGCATAGTGATTAAGAAAACTCACTTCCAGTATGAATATGACAGGGTGCAATAACAACTTCCTTCCTCTTTTTGGTATCACACATGGAAATTTTCCATTTATAATGAAACTAGGGCACAGATGTAATCTTCAGACTCAAAATAATAAATAAAAAATAAAAAGTAAGACTTGCCAGAAGTGGTTAAGATTGACAGAGAAAATGTGCGTGATAAATTGCAACAGAAGATGGGTTGGGGTTTTCAGAATATGTCAACAAAAGCCTACTCCTGAAAGGAACATTCTGCAAATAGCCCAGCCTGGACATCCTGAGTAAGAAAAATGGTAGACACAATATTGATACAAAAATGGAAGGAAATGTGGAAAAGAACAGCAAAACTTGTCAAAGAACACTCAAGAAAAAGCCCAATTCAGTCCAGACTTTTTGCCTTGAACTTAAAAAAAAAATATTAAATAGTTGCCTTTGTGAATAAAGATTACAAAGCGCTAATAAATGCAGTGAGAGACTAGCAAAGGATCTGAAAACAGGAGATAGAAAACATAAATGCAGGTCGAGTATTTTTCATCCAGGATGCCTGGGGAAGGTAGAAGAAATAATCAGAGAAAGGGTGGCAAAGTGGAAGGCACAGCAAGGACAACACAGCAAAGCTCAGAGGACCGAAGAGAGAAGTCGAGAGTGTGAAGAAGAATTGAAGAAACGTGACAGGAAGTGGCATTTAAAACTAGAATTAAATACAACTTAGCAAGTCTGATTTTATTTCTGTAAAATACATTTAGTTAAAAAGGGCACGCTGTCCACCAGAGAAAACTGATAGAAAACAGCAACAGTGCTTATTCAAGCAAATTATATGACTTACAGAAGAAAGAGTCCTTGACCCTCCACTCCTGACACAGCGGCTTAGTAGCCAAGAGAAAGCCTTCCATTTTGGAACAACTACAGCCAAATAGGGTATAATTTTTTTTTTCTGAATTGTTGGTCTTATAAGAAGTAGGTCTCTAAAGACCTAACAATATAACAAGTAAGTCAGATTTTATTAGGCGTATCAAATTCTGAACTTTGATAATAGAAGATTCGTCCTTTTTTCATCTGAAACATAGAATATTTACAAAACTTGATCATATCAGAACAATGAACTATTCTTATTTCTATTTCTCTAGACATGCTAAAACATACTCTATAGTTGCTGAGTCAGAAGGAACAATGAAAAATAAAAGTTAAGATTTCTGGAAAATAATGAAAACAAAATTTAGCAGCCTATAGAACAGATCTAAAGTTATCGGAGTGATTTTCATAACATTAAATACCTGTATCAGTAAAAACAAGAAAAGAAGAAAATGTAAACACACAAAAAAATATAAACCAAGCCAAAACAAATTCCCCAAAATAAAAGAACATTAGTTATGCAGAAAATTGATAGAAATGATGAATCCAATGTTGATTTCATATATATTAATAAAATAGACAAATCACTAACTGAAAAAAGAAAACTGCCAGAATAAAATTAGAAAATAGAGGACTAAACATTGAAATCAGATAATTAAAGAATGAGACAGGCTGGTCAGATGGCTTAGTAGGCAAAGGTGCTTGTTGCCCAAGCCTGGTGACCTGAGTTCGATCCCTGGAATGTATGTAAAGGTAAGGTGGTAGGAAAGAACCAACTCTACAAAGTTATTCTCTGACCTCCACATGTGCACCATGGCATGCACACCTATAAACACATCTGACCATAGTGGCACATGCCTTTAATACCAGCACCCGGGAGGCAGGGGCAGGTGAATCTCTGTGAGTTCAAGACCAGGGTGGTTCCAGCAAGTTCCAGGCCAGGGAGAGCTGCGTACTGAGAAAGAAAAAAAAGAATCTGTCACACAAAGAATGAGACTACTTTAAAAACAGTAAGGAAGTACTTTACATAATTTACTCAAATAAATGTGAAAACCTAGATGATGTAAATGTGTCTATGTATATGTATATGCATATGTGTGTGCATGTTTGTGTGTGAGTGTACATGTAGGAACTAAGTGTGTATGTGTGTGGAGGCCTGAGGTCAACCTTGAGGTCAACCTTGGGTGTCAATCTTCAGGAGATGTCAGCCTTGTGTCTTGTGACAGGGGCTCTCACTGAGACCTGGGAGTAGCCAATTAGACTAGGCTTGCTGGCCAGCAAGTACCAGGGATCCACTTCCACCTCCCTGGTGCTGGAGTTAAAAGTGTACCACCATACCCAGCTTTTTATATACACACTGGGACTCAAAATCAATTTCTAGTGCTTCCCAAGCGCTTTACCAACCACACTGTCCCTAACCCTAGAATAAATATTGTGAAGAAATTGTGGTTTATAAATATTGACCTTAGTAGAAACAGTCCAAATCAGAAAACAAAATGCCTTGAAAGACAAAAAATAGTTAACTCCTGCTGTGAGTTCACTAGACCCACATAACTTTATAGGACAGTTTAAATTTTAAAAATCAGAAACTTGGCCTGGGGATGTAGCTCAGTTGTTAGAGTCCCTGCCTAGCATGCACAATTCCCTGGACTCTGTCCCTAACACCTCATAAACCAGAGAGTGGCACTGCACATAATCCCAGCACTGGGCAAGTAGAGGCAAAAAGTCACCCTCAGCTATATAGCAAGTTCCAGGCCAGCTTGGGCCGCATGAGACCGTCTCAGAAATATAAGAAACAAACAGACAGAACCTGCCAGTGCCACTCCTGTATTTGAGAGCATCAAGACAAAACTTTTATGAAGAAAATATATCATTGATCCCAAAGTTTTAAAGTTCTCAGGAGAATCAAACTATAAACCTATTTCATTTGTCAACATCAATTCCAATATGATAAACAAAATATTACCAAATATAATCTAACAGCACATTTCTTAGAAATACACATCATAAGCAAGATTTTTTTTATTCCACGAATGTAAAATAGAGGCAAGGGGGGAAATCCTATAATCATACCAAAAACCAACCTCATACTAACTCAAGTTAAAAGATCTATATTAGTAATTGATACTTTAACTTTTTTTAACTTTTTATTTATTATTTTTTAATTATTTAATAACCACATACTTAGAAGAAGCATTTCATTACAACAGCATTGACATATTCAATAACAATGTCCAGAGCTAAGATGCATCTCTTACAAAATTGGCTGTACATTCTTAGGTTTACAGTTGAATTACTACAGTTATACAATATTGTACTCAGTATAAACCCTATAAGACATAAAATTAAATGAGGCTTT